CCACTGGCACTGATAATTTGTTGGCTTTTCCACACAAAGACTGTGTTGACCGAAATGATTTGTTCAAAAATATAAATATTAACCAGCATTTCTCGACACAGCATTTAAAACCACACACTGGAAGTAATGGTAAGGTTAATGGAACAGAACATTTCACTTGCTAATGAAAGGATGGTGCGATGATTGATTTTTAGAAAGTACATTGCAGTATCAATACAAATATATTTGTCTTTAATATTATATTTAATATTTATTAATACCAAAGGTTTGACATATACCAGATTTAAGTTTTATTAGTGAAATATATAGTGCCCGACTATCAGTATCAAGCTAACTGAAAAGTCAAGTTGAGCATGATACTCATATGCCAATTAAATTTCATTTTATATACCCAATATATTTTGTTGACAAGTAAAATTATCTGGCAATAAACAAAGAAAAAAAAAGGATGAGAAAATGTATTGAGAAAATGAGAAAAGGTGTTTTGCCCAGAATAACTTACTTTATAATTTACTCTGTCTAATATGCCAGACAATTTTACTCATCAGTGGTAGGGTACTGCCTAAAACTTATATGTAAGAATAACAAAATCTTATAAAAATCAATTGCAGTGGTTTTGTGTTAATTGGGGGTTGGGGGGGGGGTAGTGATAGGGGGCTTGATGACTTTATTCATTTGTGTTAGAGGGCTGACTAGAGAGAGAGTACCTTTTTTGTTTTTCAATATGACTTTGTGGTGTTCTGTCACTTTTTTACCAACATTAATTTTTCCTGTCATATGCTTATAAAATTAAGGCTTGCCTTTAAATTACAGATATTCATGTATTTTAATATAAGTATTACTATATGCACACATACTTATCATGCATTTCTTTGTTTACTTGCACAATAGCCATTCAATTGTCATTCAAACCAATGAAGGTCAATTTCAATGACCTTCCTTGACCCACATATCCTGACCTCAATGTTTTAAAATACTACTTCATTTCAAATCCATGATTTTGGATTCTCATACGCTATTGCTAGTAAACTGAAAACAAATTTATTCCATATGTGATATGGGGCCATTCCCAAAATACATAATGCTTGTGGGGATAGAGGGGTGTTTGATCAGGAGTTGCAGAGTGTCACAAGGGGGGGGGATCACATGAGGGGAAAATTTATCCCTGTCTATAAAAAAACAAGACCTTGCTTGCAAATATGTTGCCCTTAGAAGACAAATCAATGTTTTCTATCAAAATATATTGCCTGAATGGGAAAGAACCTGAATGGAAAGGCCGAGGTTAAGGCATTGAAATATGGTCTTGTACATACAGTACATTATTTTTTTGCATAACTTTATTGGGGTAAATAAATGTCTTGTTTACAAATCAACTGCACTAATCATTGGCATCCCCAGGGGTTGATCACCAGGAGGGGGGATTTGTTACTTTTTGTAAAAAAATAACATCCCTCCATGTAGGGAAATTGTTTGCATTTTGGCCAGGGAGCATTTGTAATTTACCTAGGGGGGGGCAATGGTGATTTTGAGAGGGGTCAAAATTTAGGGAACTATCAAAAATTACCTGAATATTAGGCAAGGAAACCTTCAACAAAAACTTTCCTTTAGTTTTCATTTTTGTTGCCATGCAAAGTTGCAAACCTTTCATATTCTAAGGATTTATGACTGAAGTTGTTATTAATAGATATGGAAGTTCAATGGTCAAGAATATTTGACATTATAGTGCATGTCAGAATTTATTATTCATATTGATAAGAAACCAATACTAATTAAAGGTCAATAGATTTTTTGAAGGGGGAAACAGGGAGTCGACACTTCACCATCTGTTGTTTACAATCATATGGTGGGGGGGGGGGCAACGAATGTGATCAACAAAAGTGGGGGGGGGGGCTCCAGAAAATTTAAATAAAAAACTGTCATGGCACTCCCCCTCCTGTAAGTAAATTATAAATGCCCCTAACAGGCACAGTTTACCCCCAGGATAAACCAAAAGGATATCAACATTCACATAGTAGTGGTTATTTAATTGTTCACCTTTCAGCTATACAGTACGATTTTCTATGGAGTTAACCAATTGTATTGTATAATATAATGTTTCTGTTAGATATGTTATGTTTGCATATTAATATTGCCCTGGCAATGGGATAGGTACTGTAATACGATTTTTGTCATTAAACTTTACCCTGTACCCAAAGGCTTTGTCAATATTTTGTTCTGTCAACCTCATGGAAAGCAGAGGAAAGTGAATAAGTGCAAAGGAGCATAATATAGATATTTACACTTTCCATTAATGGCATCTTTCCAACAACAAAAATATGAACAAAATATATATAATAAACATTTAACAATTGGAATACTAACTAGTGACTACAGTTCATACAATGAGACAGTCAACTTCTGTGAAAATATAAACAACCACGCGATATTGACCATAGCTGATCCATCAGATCCAATCACAGATCCAATTTAATAAATATATACGCGGAATATCATATTATACGTACATTTTGCATAAGAATTCCTTTCAAAAATTCGACAATATATAATAATTATTATATTATTATATTTGAGGTAAAAATACCAAGTCCAAAATCACGAACAAATATACACCAAACTGTTCAGTGTTGACTCCTTAGAACTTGCAAATCACACTTTCCCAACATTACATAAGGCAATAGCACCTGTAATTTTCCATCAAAATGCTTCTTTAATACAATTTTTACTGTAAAGTCTGTAAAGTACTCACAAATTTATATTAAAAATTTAACAAAAAATTATCAAAGTAAACTAAAGCCCACTCCCAACGCGAAGGACAAATCAGGACAGTTTGCGAATTTTGCTAGGCCTTCTCGCTTCTCGCCTCTCCACAGTATCCAAGCAATACAGCTTTATCCCGGTCAACCTGCAAACCTTATCGATTTCCCCCTAAAATAACGAGGAGGAAGCGAGAAGGCCAGGAACTAGGCTGGTGTATTCCCACTCCTTGTGACCTTGTATCAACAAATATAGAATCGCAGGTATATTACGCAATCGAACTGGAAACCATGGAAACGAGAGAAAAGTAACACCGCGGAAAAACGTCTGCGCATGCGTCAACCTTATCTGTAATAGTATTGCGAACTTGATGAGAAGCTGTTCCGAACGTTTCCGAAGGCTCAAAACTCAAAATGGCGGTAAAAAGGAGTGACTTCATTGTGCGTCTTTACAGCCAGATTTCAAACGCAAATATAAACATGTCATTCTAAAAACTAGGAATAAATACAGCCAGAAGGTTCAAGAAATTGTATTGTACAAGAACATGAACTAAAGGTGATTGTTGACAAATTTATCGTCTGAAACATTTTGTTTATCAACTAAGCAATGACAATTTCCGAATTTTCGTTTGAGAACATTTCTTTAAAAAAAACTGTGTCGCCAAATATAAAAAATTTGCGTGTTCACAATAATTAAACTTTAGGATTTATTCCAGTGCCTTTTTTAAGGAATTTTCACTGGGGGGGCAAAACATGAAAAAAAGACAGAACGAAAAATATGAGCCGTCGAGGTTTGGCGAACGCGCGAGTCTGAAGAGAGCTCGAGGTTTTGTAAAACTTTAATTTATTAACTTCACCTATATAAACAATAACTTCAACTCTTTGTAGCTATAATCGTACAGCTATAACCAGTGGCGTAGCCAGACCTCAATTTTTTTTTTTGGGGGGGGCGAACCTCACACCGAAGGCGTGAGACCGTCTAGGAGGGTCCAGGGTATGCACCCCCGGGAAAATTTTGAAATCTAGGGTCCCTGAATTGCGATTTCAAGCATTTTGGGAGTGAAATTCCGAAGAGTTCCGAAGATTATAAAGTACATCGAAGACATGAATTTTTCCAGACATTTGTACTCGGAATTAAATAAATTGGAAAAGTCACCTTGAAAATAGGAGGAGGGGTCAGTGTCACCTTATTTCCTCTCTGTGATCCGGCCGGGGGGGGGGGCATCCCAATGTGATTTTGATCAGATATGTTGCATTTAAATCATTTTAGGTTCTATGAGACACCATTTCCGCATTCTCAAAATTGCGTTGCTTTTTCATACGATACAGAATAAATCTGAGAAGAAATATTCATGCTATGATGATGAATACATGTATTTAACAGTTAAAAATCTAAACTAAATCTATTCTTCTTGGAACCAGCATTTTATCGGATTGTTTGCATGAAATAAAATCGAGTTTTCTTAACTTTTTCGTTTGAATTTTTGTTTTGAATAATTTTGCAAACATTTTCGAAGTCGTGTCCGTTAAAATCAACATTTTTTTACATGAATTATGTTTCATTCCATACTTTAAATGCGAGGACGCTTTCAATTAATGTCTAGTCTACCCATTTGCTATATTTTCTCGTTTGTTTTACTAATTTTTGACCAATTAATAAGCATGTTTTTGTTTTAGAAATTGATATTCAAATTCCCCGCCATTCTTTCATAATTTGGTGCATGCGCAGACGCTTTTCCGCGGTGTTGAGAAAAGTAGTCAACCAAAACAAAAAGAATCGCACATGCGCAGCATGGACTGTAACCCGTCTTTACGGTTGTCTTCTCAAAATTGTAAAATCTAAAATATATGACCCAAGTGTGTCATGGGCGTATGGGGGATTGCACGGGATTCGATAGGATTATCGGCTTCGGGGTGTAATCGCTCGTGGATGGAAAAAAAGCTACGTACGCTAAAACTTTTCTCAGCTTTATTAATTTCACGGCAGTTTTGAACCTGCATGCAGTATACGAAGACGAAATATGTAGGACAGGGTGCTGGACCGAAATATAGCTGTGCAGATTCTTTAATTCAAGCCGCCATAAATACTTTAACACCTTTCTGTCAATTATATTGTAGTTCGGTATATGCATTTTTCGGTTTTAAACAGGGAAAATTTCTTGAAGTTTAATTGTTTTGTTTACGACCGGTGTACAACTTGGCCGACGCCGTTTGTTTGATGCGCGTATATGTATGCATGTATGGGGTCAACCTCGTCCCCAGGGCCTTTTTTGCAAGGAGGCGAAGGGCAGCAAAGGCCCTGGTAAAGGCTGGTGAAATAATCCACAAATTGTGGATTATTTTGTCACGTGATATATCGGAGCAAATACTATACAGGGGGGTGCGATCGCGGATCGCTTTAGCTACAATATATTCGTCAATATTGCATAAACACCGAAATCGACAAATAAAGAACAAAGATCTATTTTAAAATGAAAAAATCTGTTAAAGTTCTTCCAAAAATATTGAATACATTTGAAATTGTCTTCAAATTAGCTCTGCGAACCTTGGTTGAACTGTAAAGGAGATCTATTAAATAGACAAAGCAACAGTACAAAACGAATGGATCGATAGAAGTATTTATACTATGATCGAATTACTGTCGCAAAGAAATTGCTGCCTCGATTGTGAAACAGATATGTAAAATCACTTTAATTTAATAATATGGACTCTCAATACACCATATCCATGATCATCAAAACATTTAATAGTTATTGTTGCATGCTACAATAGATCTTTCTTGCAAATGTCAATATCATACAGTATAAAATGAAATAAATTTTTCAAAATGCTTTCAATTTTCGGAGTATCTATTGTTTTGTATTTTATACAGTATATTTAACAGTTAAAGGGAGTACAAGACCCAAAGAATGTCTGAAAAACAAGGAATGTCAACATCGTATGCACTTGGAATTTAAATACTTATGTTAGCATTTCCTGAATTTAGTTATGTTAACATTTCCTGAATTTAATTGAGTTAAAATACTTCCCAGAACATTATTTAAGGAGATTATTTGACAAGTCAGCAGGTACATTTTTTCCTGAGCCACAATTGGGGCAATTCAGTGTCACTCATCACAACAGGCACTCAAAATCACTCACAACATACAACAGACAGTTCAGCATCACTCACCACAATTGACCGTTCAATACTGTGTGCCTTAGTAGGCAAATAAATCATCAATATTTTGCTCAGATCAACAACAAATATCAAAATTGAACTCATTCTCAAAACATGATACAATAACAAGGGGTCTCTTATGGACAAATACAAGACACCTGGTGTCAAATGTATCAAGTGACAAGATTATTCATCTCTTTTAATTTAAATACATTTTGCCGTCTTGTAATATTAAGTACTATTTGTTGTTGGTGACCATCAGTTGAGCAATTTAAAACATTCGCAGTGTATGCTTTATCAGACCTAAAGATACTTGGCTTCACCTTGTATCTTTATACCTGATACAACTATAGTAAATAAAATAATAACTATGATATTTAGCCTGAATATTGTTATAAATGTATGAAGGATATTTTACATATATTCTTGATGCTCAACATTATCCGATAATCATTTAACATGAAATCAGATAATCATTTAACTATTGAGAATTGTGTGAATTCCTGAATTACTTATTGTTACAGACTGTACTGACCTCTTGCAATTATGACAATATTGTCTCTAGTCTGGCAAAATCTGACAATGTCTCTAGTTAACCCATTGAGCTGCAATGTGCCCCAGTGTGCCCTACTTACTGAAATTGACTGATTTGTGGTTTATGGTTTTTTTGTGGCAATTCGTTGGGCATCACAAGTGCATTTGTATACCTTAATACACTGTGAGAATACAAGTATTAGTATTTAAATGACACAATATGATGTAAGTTACCTGTCAGGTATATAATTTGTATACAGCATCAGTGGTGTAACTTAACTTTTTTGACCACTTGCCCTCAGGGCAAGTTGGACATGAAAATTGGTTGCCCTGAATAAAATCCACTTGCCATCAGGCAATGGGATACATATGCGGGCCAGTATAAATTAGGGAGACAACATATCCACTCATTGGACTAGTGGCATTGGCTATGTTACTGCCTCAGATCTAGACTACCTCAGATCTAGCTTTGGCTTACATATTGAACAAAATTTGAATCAAGTACACTTATTTAATGTAACATTAATCACCATTATTTTTTTTATTAGTTTTACAATAAGAAATTGAAGGCACATACAACAGGACTAATAAAGTCCCAAATTAAGTCCTGCCATAAATTAAGTTCTGCTATATTTCGTTATCATATCATGAATAAACATTTAATAACCAAAAAGAGAATCAATGCATAATATAATCAAACAATTTATATGAATTTGATGCAGATGATTTGCCAGCTTGAACCAATGTCGTCGAACAGCCTTTATTCTATCCGACAATAATAATATAAACTGAAAGCTGGCCAGCTTTTTGTGGCAAAGCAACTTGCCCGTTCGGGCAACCAAGAGGAAACTTACTTGCCCGTCATGATACTCACTTGCCTCGGGCAAGTGTTAAGTTACACCTCTGAGCATAGTAGTTGCCATTTGGCAGCTGGTGGTCTGGTTGAAGTGCTCAGATAATTTGGGGAGACCCATGGCATGCTCTCTCAACAGTGAAGGTTCAAAAACACACATGCCGGAATGCTTATAGAATTCCTCGCCATTTTTCCGCATTCATTGACACATAAATAAGTACAAGAATCACTTCAAAATAGTTTAAGGGTAAAGTTTAGAGATTAAATCATTTGAGTATGTTAGTTTGGTTCAAATTTGACTGGGGGGGGGGTGAAGAATGAGGCAATCATATTAGGTCAATTTTGAGTAAATTGACAATGTTTACAAGGAATTAATAGCGGTTAAGGTGTGAAAGTGTGAAAAACCAAGCTAAAAGCCCCAAGAATACCTGATTGCCACAATGTCAAAGAGCATAGTTGCAGACTAAGAAACATCTATTAGACCATGTACAGTACTTGAGTCTTGTGATATTGCTTTTGTATTATACAATATACTGTAAACTTGCTGTTAACATATTATATTATTAATATTCATGGTTGTCAAATATCATAAAATCAACACACAAAATTCACACACAAAGGTTTAAAATAATGTATATTGGTATAAACGTTTAATAAAAATGCATACATACGTAACCCATGGTCGGCATGGAATTTTGTCACTTGGCACAGTACTTTAATGTTTTTTAATGTTTGTCCCACATTAAAATATATTGAGTGACTTGAGTCAATGACAGTGCAACTGTTCATATTAAAACGTTCTAATCACATTTACATGCACATTTGTATTCAGTAGTAATCTTTTCAGAAAGGTATATCAAAGTCCCAAATCAAATTCTTCACTGACAGTATGTTATTGACTCCCAAACGACAAATATTATAAAACACGCTTCCAAGCTGAAAAGAAATATTTACTGTTGTCAGTCAGTGTTTAGACTCTTCTCTTTGAATCTTGATCTTCGACAAGTATTGCTGTTGATTATATTCCATATTTTTTTAAAGAATATCGCAGACTATATATTTATTTCCACTGTCAGTTGAAATTAAGTTTATCATCATAGTTTCAGTCGCAAAAGCTTCTATCGCCCCTTTGCACGGCCATGTTTGATAAAATCAAAGCGGCCTGCACCCCCGGTTTGAAAAGTTAAATATTCTGAAATATTCAAAATTTGAAGCATCACGTGACCAGCCTTTACCAGGGCCTTTGCTGCTTCGCCTCCTTCCTCAATAGGCCCTGGGGACGAGGTTGTGAGAGCACTGGCTCTTCCTCGCCCCATGATGCATCTCCCTGCTTAAATACAGTATGATTGAAATTGAAAATTTTCATGTGGAAGCACCGGTTCATTTCTGTGTGATCAAAATAAAATTTTCATTCACATTTCCCGCTGGTATTCTTGTGATCTCTGTTCTACATTTTTTCGTTTTATTTCCCACGTCGTTATGTCAGAGAAGAATAAATCAAAGCTTGCTTATGTTCAGGAAATGTTTAAAGATAAAGTAGAAGAAGATGTCATTAAGCTTGTTCTTACGGAGTGTCAGTACGATGGTATGTAAACGTAGCCATTTCATTTCATTTTGAAAGATGTTTACGTTTGTAGCAACGTAGTGGACTAATTTTAACTTTTATAAATACGAGTTATTACAATTGAAAAAAATGTGTTAATTAAATGGACTGTATACATGTCATAAGTCATGTGACCAGTCCTTTTATATTACCGTTTATTCCAGAATGGCGCGATTTCGATGCGGAAAATCAAAATTTCAATATTTTTGCTTAGAACACTAACCTTAATACAGCTTTATACCGTATCTGTTTTTCAATGTTGTTACTCAATAAATGATTTAATGTTAATAGTTATAGTTCATTATGGCATCAACATGGAACAGGTCTATATATTTATACCAGGCTTTCTGGCAGCAAAACCCAAAAAATAGAAATTTGCTGTGTAAGTCAAATTTTGTAGATTTCAGAGAACATGCAGCACATTGCGATAAACTTCATTCTCAACACAAGACAATCTCAACCCAATCTTATATGGTATTATAGTTTATAATATAGCATTTGTAAATTCTGAACGCTGATTGGCTAAGAGCCGTGTTGATATAACTCAATGTCAACACGGGAAATTTTCCGCCGCTCGTAAACACGGAAATTTTTCTCATCCTTCGGGCTTTTGACATTGCTATATTATAAAAAAATATAAAACATTTTTCCGTATTGATATATAGTTATATCAACACTCGTGGAAGTTGGGAAAACTCGAAATTGTATGAAAACACTCCGCCCTTCGGGCGTCGTGTTTCCATACAATTTCTCGTTTTCCCAATTCCACTTGTGTTGATATAACTGTATATCAACACGGAAAATGTTTTATATTTGTTAAATATAAGATGACAAAAATTCCCTGCAAGATCGAAGAAATTTACTGCAAAGATATTTTGTTAAAAATGTCACCAAAACGATATTACAGGCCATATACCAAAACAGTAGATCATTTCTCTTGCCCCCAAAAATGTGTAATGTTTTTGGTATAAAATGAGATGGGAGTTGCTGCTTGTGAATGATGCTTCCTAACGATTGGCCGAAACAGCAGTAGAAGTATCTAGTATCTACATGGTTTTACATTGTTGCGGTAGGATGAGGCACCGATTTCAGAATATTTTAGTACTGGCACTAATGAGATAAAAACCGATACATAAATTGTGAATTGCGTGTAGAATTAAAAAGTCTTTCGATTAAAACTGATAGACAACAAATAAAACAGTACTATGCCACGCTTGTTTACAGATAACAAACTACAGGAAATGAAGTCAAATTAGTGACTTCCCATCATGTGATCTTCGCGCATGCTCGATAGAAGGTTTCTTCTGAGTTCAGAAACCACTTGTCTGCCATCTTGGTATTATAATTGACCTAATTAACTGAGTTTTTGATGACATCACAAGCAGGGTAAACTTGTTACAGTAACATTTCTTCATGTGGGACTAAATTTGAGGGCCACAGGTTTGTTAGTGTGAATTCACTATTATGTGCTACCCTCGTAAAATAAAGTTTTTCATTCATTCATTGAACATTCATTTCTTCAAAAAGTGTCTTAAAATGTGGTGAGTTAATTTAATTGAGTACTAAAAAGACTTCGGAAAATCGAGTTTCATATTGATAATGACATGTGGTTTGCAAGATAAAAATTTTGCTTTTTACCCCACTTGTGATAAATGCATATCCAAGCATGCATGCTGCTTTTGATCAAAATTGTGTGTTACATGGAATTATTATTTGTATTTACAAAAAAATAAGTGCTAGCCCCCTGTTATAACCATGAAGGCTAATCGAGGCACTGAGGTGGTCATTAATATATTACAATACTATTATTTAAAGAGTGTCACAAGCAGTGCCGGATTAACCATATGGCAGAAGCGGCATATGCCACGGGCCCCGCGCTTTTGGGGCCCCGCGCTTACTCTCTTCTATTTTTTCCCGAATTTTTTGGTTCCATGTTTCAGTGCGAGATCCAAACAGTGCCACAATGCGGGGCCCTAAAGAGCCCAAGTCCTCCAGAAAACGCGAGGGCCCCAAAATTTAAAAAGACAGTCCCCATCAAGCTGGGCCCAAACGTTTTTTTGTTCCCTTTTTCAGTGTTTCAGCGTGGGGCCTCAAAGAGCCCAAGGTCCTCAGAAAACATCAGAACCCAAAATTTAAAAATTGAGCTCCAAAATAGCTGGTCTCGAAACGGTTTTTTCTTTCCTTTTTCAGCACAGGATCCAAACAGCGCGGGCCCCAAAGAGTCCAAGGCCTCTAAAGCGAAGCCCCCAACTAAAAAACGTGAGGCCCAAAAGTTTAAATTCCTTCTCTGGGCAAGGGGCTCCAAAGAGTGAGGCCAAAAAAATCATAGGGGTCAGAAAATATCAAAATTTGCAGTAAACTGTTTTAACAGTATTTAAAAATTCTAAAAGATCGCTGAATTTTGTGGAAGACGGCAGAAGTTCATATGGACGGTATCATGTTTAGCTATTTTTCCCCTGCAAGCAATAATAATATATGTTAATGGTATAAACTGGGTTGAAATTCAGTTCGTTCAAATTATTGATGTATAATTCTTTTGGTTTGTAAATACACAGGAAACCTTTCAACGCATGAAATACAAGAGGATATTTTTTAATCTTACTGAATTCAGTGTCTAAAATTCTGTTGGAAGGTTGGGGGGTGGGGGTCAAGGGGCCCCGCGCTGATAATATGCCACGGGCCCCGCGGAACGTTAATCCGGCCCTGGTCACAAGACGGTGCAAACAAATTCGAAAAGATTAGGAAGCAAAGGACACAAAAGACAAAGTACAAAACAAAACAGAAACCAAAACAAAACAAAGCAAAAGGAAATTGATTCTTACACATAGTAATTATGTGGATAACTAGTAGTAATCAATTAATTGTTGTTTTAAATTATTTTTAATAGAAGATTTGTTCAGAGATTTAATAGACTCATCAATATCATTCCAGGTCTTAGAGCCAATAAATCGTATATTGAACTTTCCATAGTTATTGTGAGGTTAAGAAAGGGAGAATGATGATTTTGCAGAAAGCCTTATATTATAACGATGCTTGGAACTAACAGATGAAAAAAGTTCATAAACTCATATGGAAGTTTGTTGTTGTTAAATTTATTCATAAGTAATGTTGTATTAAGTAAACAATATCAGACAATATTTTTTTTTATTTAAACATATTTTATTCTCAACATTTTCTCTTGCTCATCGAGGGAGATCATGTTGACTTATTTAAAACATTGGAGTGCATTGTTTTTAAATAAAAGGTGCACAAACATAATAAGATAATTATAAAGAAAAGAAGTAAATAATAGTTAAGCTCAATGAAGAAATCTAAAGATAAGTTATTACGTATTAATATTCAGTTAAACTGGTGAATCGCTTGGTTTGAAGAATAAACAGTTGAACATTCCGCATCAAAATTTCATTTTCTTCATAACCAAGTATTTCTGAACCATATAGAAATGTTTCAACTATCTGATCCTCCGATAAGCTTAACCACGTAGCGTGGAGCAATTGTGTAGACGAAGAAAGCAATCAAAAAATTTTATGAGCTTTTAAAAGTCTCTTAAAAATAGGTGAGGTAATGAGAAAATGTTATTATACCGGTACTAATAATAATAATAATAATGAAAACTTTATTGAATTTTTTACGTATATATACAATTGTAAATCTCACTACTGACTTAGGTAATTTACAATTGGCTACATGAATCACAGAGTACTACATATATGTACTATTTACAGTAAAAACAAGAATTGAAAATGGGTATATGATTATATATATAATTATATGTAGTTATTAATTTAAATGTTTTAAAATTCAGGGTTTGTCCACTCTTTGTTTCGACAGCAAAAAATATAGTACGTCGCTCTAATGCATGGCATAAGACGTCATCTTTTTTATGCAGTAATGTTGCTGCTTTTTATCCATTCCTATAGTGTCTAACATTTCTAAAAATGTGAATAATAATAATAATATACCATATTTTAACCTGTATACAGGTTAAACTTTGGTCAGTTAAAAATATAGCTGCTATCATGCACTCAAGGACCTGTTTAAACTAAATAGTCAATCCTATACTTATATATATTAACTAAAAACTACTATCATTTTGGTGTCAGTATTTATAAATATTTAAGAATCCACTAATCTGTGTCTAATCAGTTTTCATAAAAAAGTTTCTACACTTTAAATTTGTCTAAAACGTAAATGTGATATATCATTCCTCAAATCTTCTGGCAGTTCGTTAAAAACCGTAGCCCCTTTGTCTTTGAGAAAAAATATCTTGCGACCAGTTTCTGTTTCCATTTTTGGTATAGCCTCAATTTTGAGGTGTTTCCTCTTGTTTCTCTCTGGTGGAAGAACTCGTTACAAATGCCATTAAATTGGTTAAGCAAAAGACCATCCTGTGCACAGTGAAGTTTCCTAACATTTCGTATTGAACAGTGAACACCAGCGGTTATGTGTTACGTTAGTACCATATACGATAGTACCATCTATTAGACCTCTGTTGGAAAACTGCTCGCAGGTTTTCCACCATTCCCTCCCGAAATTTTTGTGTGATGACTTGGAAAACGTCCAAAAGAGAGCGCTGGCTATCATTTCCCCGAACCAGTTATATGAGCATAACCTGCAGAAGTTTAACTTAGCTACATTAAAAGATAGACGTATAAAGTTATGCGACAAGTTATTCTCGTCCATCAAGAGTTCGGAATCTCATAAGTTACACAATCTTCTACCTCCTTTGCAAGAGGAAAACTATGACATTAGAAAGAAGCAAGTCTTCAATATTCCAATGATACGCACTGAACGCTTTAAACGGACTTTTATTCCTTCGATGTGCAAGTCTTGATAACAATTTGACCTTTGCAGTTAAAAATTTTCTTGAACTGTCTTATATCAAAACTTAGCATCTAATGTAATTTTAAGTTCGTGTCATAATATATAGCTTCTAAATAGATTACGCAATTCAGCTTTTATGAGCTGCAATGTAAACTTTTTAATTAATCTATCTGCATGTATCTATCTATCTATCTATCTATTGACAGCACGATCTTGAATTTGCTGAAATCGATTTGCAGTGGTACAGACTTGGTATATCATGAAATAAGTGACCACATGCAGTATTCAAGAGTAATGATTCAATCATAACTGCAATGAAATACTGATAATGAGTTTGTAGAAGTTTTAATCTGGTTAATGGACTGGCAACGTTTAAATTGTGAAGGCTGACTAGCTATAGTAATCAAAATTTACATCTGTTAAAATATTATGCTTTCCATCGGTCTGAGAATGATTTGGAATATTATTTGGTTTTGAAATTAATTCGTATCTGGGTTAGGCCAGAAGTTGCAAACTGCCGTTCAGTTCGTTGACTGTTTGAACTATCGGTCTGAACTTTTCATCGAGCTTTTTCTCCAGAATTTCTTCAAGAATCTTTTTTGTAATTTGAGTCATCATAACAAGCATATGTGGACAGTGTAACGATATAAAGAAAAGAAATGATACACAAATAAGACAAAAATATCCTCTTTCAAGGCGAACGTCAAACGCACGACCGCCATCTTGTGACACGGAATTAGTGTCGCTGACAACTCGCGAATAGTGTTTTCATTCGTTTTATTATCGCAGAGTGTCTCTGACTACTGCCAACTGACACAACAAAACAAATTTTTTTGATTTCTTGCGACAGTCTGCGATGAATTACGATAGGCGGTTAAGGTAATTCCGCAGTTTTGCATTGCGCACTTTTACTGCGCACATCTTATAACTTCATTTCATCCATTATACGTACCGTTTCAAAAAAAAATCATTTAATGACAATTTTATGTTACTTCAAAACATCTTTGGTTACATTCGTGCAAAGAATTACGTTAAAATTAATTTTTTCAAATAAGGCATACAAAAGTGTAGCTAGGGTTCCTGTGTCTGTAGTATGTTTATTTACTTGTATTTCACGTTTTAATGCCACAATTCCCTGAAAATAGTTTTTTAACTGATAATTTATTTCTTTAATGTATTTTACATTTCATATCCGAAATTAAAAGAAAAATCATTTCTGGATCTTGAAAAAAATCCTTTATCAATGCATGTTCTCAAAGAAAAATATGTAGTACGTTAGTAGTTTCATTTTGCTCAAAACACAATATTTTTTCAAAAATAATTACAAGATAGGTTTACTAAAGCAAAATCCGCGCTAAAAACGTCAATAAATATCGGACTGTTGTGATTTTGCTGTTACTCGTAATGAGCGTCAAGATGGCACCCTATTGGGGTAAAGGTGGTATATTGTGATTGTCATATCTTCTTAACGAGTCCGGTGATCCCGACTTTTTTGTGTGATTTTACTGTAAGTATATCATAAACTCCATGCCTGGGAAGTTTCAGCACATTCTCATTTCGGGAACAATTACTGCGGAATTACCTTAAACAGAATCAACATCGGTTACACTGAAAACCAGGATTAAAATAGGTCGTCGTTAGAGATTTCTTAAAAAGTGTTCTTTAGTTAACGTCGAGTTTGTATGGCCGTAGACAGGGCTCTACACAATTTGTGCCCAGATATATTTCTCTTATGTTTTTGCTGATTGATATGGATTGAACTACCTAAAAATACAAGTACAGCTGACTTCACCGTTTTGAGCGAAGGCCCTTCGTCGGCAGGGTTCGAAGTAGAGAAAAAGTATGACCTGCAAGTCTAAATATTTTTGGCAGGTGAATTAAATTTTAGCCTGCCATTTTTATTCATTGCCTTGAACTGCCAAAATGGCGATGTCTCATAGGAGTCGTATTGTAAAAATCAATATTTTCATGTTATGCATTTTATTATTTTTAAACTTGTCTACTACTACAGTAAACTTGGATTTACATTTCAAATATAAACATATTTAGTCAACTAAATGATCTAGTATATATGAGTTGTGGTAATGAAATGAAATATATCTATAGAATTTCACCTGCCAATTTTTTTACTTGGCAGTTCAAATTTGTTTTTGCCTGCCATTTCTAAAATATGGCCTGCTTTTGGCCATTGGCAGCCCGCTATTTCGAGCCCTGTTCGTCGAGACGTTAGTATAGCCAAACTTCCCGACGACGGGTCTTCGCTCGAGATGTCGAAATTTCACTTGTATTTTTCAAGTAGTTGAATCCATATCACTCCGCAGTTTTCTGGTATTTTTGCCACTACCTACGCTGGCATAGACCGCTCTCTTATATTTTTGTATTTTTAGTGGAGAAAGCGGTGATGCAGTTGTTAAGCATAAGTGACAGTAATAGCAGTAAGACGAATGTTGGTGCTTCTTCATCGCGTCGCAAATTTGACGACATCGACCCAGTTGACACTCCTCTACCTGATATGCAACGATATCGTACTCCAGATACCAAGGACCTGCCCACAGAACAGTTTGATTTTTCCTCTTTTCTTCCCCAAAGACAATATCCTGATCCTTTCTCCACAACAAAACCTACTTCCCTTGGTACTAACCCTGCCTTTGGTACTGCCAGGCCTCCTACTGTACCAAAAGTCCAAAGTGGTACTAAATTAACTGATGGATTTAATGAAAATGAAACATATGTCTCGGATGATGATATTGATGATCATATCGATGCTATTGATTGTATTGATACTACTGCCAAAAAAGTTAATCAAAATGGTGCAAATCATCGCAATGTTAAAGGTACGAATATTGTTGAACAAAATGTCAGTCATGGAATGAGAAGGAAAAGTAGAGAGAACCAATCATTTCCAAACGATAAGGCTCCAGGAAACAAGGGTAGGGATCAACAATCATTTGTAAATGGTAAGCCAGTTAAAGTCAACAATCCACAGCAAAAACAAGTGAATAAACTTAATGGCGGCAGAACAACTAGCCCGCATCCGTTTGCACCTCAATTAAATTTTCAACAAAATCAATCATCATACCTTGCCAATCAAGCTCAATATTTTTCGAGCTTTCCTTCATCTGCATTCCCTCATCCCTTCATTCCACCTCGGGGCAACATGCCGCCTGGGCAGTACCACAGACCACCCCCACATCCAGGCTTTAGGAACCCTGTACTTCCTCAACCTGTACCCCATCACCCTTTTCCGATGAGGTCCGTCACACCTGGAAATAAGGGACCAAACAATTTTTTACCGACGGCATCCGTGACATATGGTAATAAAGTACCACACCATTCTATACCAACGGGAGCTAACCAGTCTAAACCCATGACTGATGGTTTCAAAGCACCTAACTATTCTCTACCAAATCATTCCATGTCATATGGTAATATGAGAGCTAATCAGTCTTCGCCTATGACTGTCACCACTGATGGTTTCAAAGGATCTAACAATCTTTCAGCAACATTGACAAATGGTTTTAACAGGCCTAATTACCCTGCACAAGCAACCATACATGGTAATAAGCGACTTAACCACCCTGTACCAAACACTTCTACACATGGTAGTAAAAGACCTAACCTTGCACCAACCACAACTTCTATGGCGTATGGTAATAAAGGGTTCAACCATTCTGTACCGGCAACCACCATAACACATGGTAATATAGGACCTAACCATCCTATACCAAACACATCCACATATGGCAATAAAGGACCTATCTACCCTACACCAACCACAACCCCTATGACATATGGTGCTAAAGGGTCTAATGCTGCACAAGCAAACACACCACGTGGTAATATAGGACCTAACCATCCTATACCAAACACATCCACATATGGCAATAAAGGACCTATCTACCCTACACCAACCACAACCTCCATGACATATGGTACTAAAGGGTCTAATATCGCACAAGCAAACACCATACCACATAACGGATTTAACCATGCTATACCAAATGCTTCCACACATGGCAATATAGGACCTATCTACCGTTCACCAACCACAACCTCCATGACATATGGTACTAAAGGATCTAAATCTGCACAAGAAACCACCATTGCTCATGGTAATAAAGGCTCTAATCATCCTAGATCAATCACCCCAACACATGTTAGCAGAGCACCTAACCACCTTACACCGACCACAAATTCTATGACACATGATAATAGCCACTCCTCGTCAACAACGTCTGTAAGTAATAAAGGATCAAACAACATGCAAAGAGGGTATAGTGATTCTCTAACAAGGATGCAAGGTACACCTGTTTATAATTTTTTATCCCTCATTAATTTTTATTCCTTCATTTAACATGTATTTGCAGTATCAATATAATCTTACTGTTTGTATACAGTTGTGTACCTAAGTCTATACACATGTAAAATTACTAGGGATGTGTTGGATACTGTTCTGCCAAATACTTCATGGACAGTCTGCCGGATACCGGTCAGGGGGAAATGGTAACCAGATTTCAAATAGTAACCAGATGGTGGAAATGTACTTGTACAATACTTCACTTTTTCGCTATTTTATAGTCCATTGTTTGAGTATGTGCTTTATCCCTTTATATAATATGCATAAATCAGGGTTCGTAGCAGTCTTTGAAATCCTTGAAAGTCTTTAAATTTGAATGCAGGTCTTTAAGGTCTTTGAAAAGTCTTTAAATTGTGTGAAAAAGCGAAGAAAGTCTTTAAAAGTCTTTAAATTCTTTAGTGGGGAACTGATTATACGATTTCCTAGCTAATAAAATAGATTGATTGAATCAAGATTTTCGCAAATATCAACGAAAATGCACATTTGAGGATGTGATTTGACGGGACTGACTACTGGGTAAAAACGGTGCTTACACTCGCCATTTTTCGACAGCTGATTGCTCTCAAAGATCTTTGAAAATAGGCAGAAAAAATCTTTGAAAGTCTTTGAATTTTTTTGGTCTTGGAGACTACGAACCCTGTAAATGTATGTGGCACATTCAGCGGACCATGTACGACATTACAGTTTACAAAAACAATTTCTGCATGCTTGGTTCTAATAAACATTCCAGTGTTATCTTGTAAAATATCCGGCCAATTGTTACCGGATATCTCGCCCTTGATAGTTGAATAACTGTGTCACAGCATTGGTAGGCTATATATAGATTAAGCTGAACAAGCTTTCGTTGGTAGGGATGCAACTACCTGAAAAATATAAGGAGAATGAATTTCGACGTTTCGAGCGAAGGCCCTTCATCTGGAGTTACTAGTGGGGGTCGGGAAAATTACATGAGCTTTTATATACCAGGAATATAGAAGCGATCACGTGACAAAAAATAAACCAATCAGATGGATTTAGTCAAAACAAAGTATAAACAAAAAATGTAAATCACATTACAGACTATATTAATGCAAATATACAGAAAACTACAGCAAATACAATAGAAATTCGAGCCCTCTGTCCCATTTTTGGTAGCAACAAATAATGATAGCCGCAAAAGACACGAAATGCGTCTCATTTCCAAACTTGGCACTGTCCACCCCTATGGCATTGATGAACTTTTTCCTATGTTTGACTCTATCTGTCTTTGCCTGTCTAAAGCAGACATTGACAGTACTTTTAATTCTTACCATATCTGAATATCGGATTTCCATATCTTGAAATTTGGTGTAAGGCAAAGAAGTCTAAAGAAGTAAGATTTCCATTTTTGCAGCAACAAAAGTGCCTACCATAATCTTGTTAATGTAACCAGGCATCTGGTTGTACTTGGCCAGGACGTCCTTGTTAAAATAATCTACGCTAGCAGAGCCTCTTGTAAGATTTTTTACGTGTGTATATTGCATTAGTTTTCATTAAGCTTGTACGACTGTACTGTCGAGTTTTAAACTTTGTCACTCTATTGTGTGCCTTTCATAACAGCTAAATTTCCATCTCACGGAAAGAGGTCCTTAATAATACTGCGTGGCTTGCCTGGTAGTGGAAAATCAACACTAGCAAGGTGAATATCACGTCCTAAATGTAATGGATGATTCCTGCTATCGACTAATTTTTTATCTAGACAAGAAAGACGAAATCTATCACTATAGCTCAAAAGAGCTTCCTAAAATTAGTAAGATTGCAAAGTTTGGTTGCGAAATGTTGTAAAATAAGGACATATTACACACGGAAAAATGTACCACTTTCAGCTCAAAAGTGGTGCATTTTTCCGCGCGTATAATAAGCAATTATTGGATGAGGCTGAGCATGATATCAAGAATTATTCAGACCGAGGTCAATGTTATCTGCCGAAGCGAAGCTGAGGCGGATAACATAGACCGAGGTCTGAATAATTCTTGATATCATGCGAAAGCCGAATCCAATAATTGTTTTATTATACATTTAAAGACATGAGAAACGTATAAAACGCTTCCTGTTCATGAGGTAGGAAAAGTACAATTTGAATATCAAACACCTTGCACAAAGTCAAAGGTCAGCTAAATATTCTATTTCTACTTCTATTTACCCCTTTGTGGCTTTTTTCTTGCTTTCACTATCCTTATCTGCCAATAATTCGGAGAGTTCACTTTCATTCAGCGAAGCAAATCTGCTGTCGGCCATTGTTTGTTTGTTTTTTTCGCGCGCTTTTTGGTTCAAGCTTTTGGCCGCGCAAGGGTTTGGGCACGAGAGAGTCCAATAATTTTTTTTTTGGATGCAAGTTCGATCCAAAAAAACAATTATTGGACGCTGATGACGTCATCGGCGAAAAATACGTAATAAATGCCGAATACTGAAAATTAGCCGGTGCTTTCTGACCAATTAGAAACGAGAATACATATTAAATGTATAATAATGCTCAGTATTTTAATACTCAAAATTTGCTAATTTCACAGTGCTATATTTTCCATATTTTGCAACCAAATTTGGCAATTTTACTAATTTAAGGATGTTCATTTACGCTATAATTGTAGATTTCTTCTTCCTTGTCTGGATAAAAAATTATTCTATAGCCATGGAATCATCTATTGTCATACTATGTATTTATCATTCTGAAGATGCCTTGACCTAAAGATGAAACGTTAATATACTTCAATAAAACTACTGTATATTTGTATCTTCATGTCCATAATCTTTGTGTTTATGTGCACGTTATGCTATAGCCATTAATTTTCATTATACGATTGTACATTTAATGATTCCCATCCCCGCCTTCCACCATTCAATAATCTATGTAATCTTCTCTATTTAGACAATTGAGTGCTGCGCTAGGTGGCATGACCATTTCTACTGATGATTTTTTCCAATTGAAAGGGAATAGGTAAGTGGTGTTATAATGTCATTAGGCCACATAAAATAAATTCCTTGATTCTCATCGCTACGTTTTGAAAATGTCGAAGAGGCGGGAGGTTTATATTTTAAATAATTTATCGATCCATAAATAACATTCATAACATTTAAAGCGAAATGGCAATATATTTTTTATTTTCTCATTTGAAAGAACTTTTAAGACTGTAATACTCGAAAGGAATGAAATGTCCGCCGTCTTCAATTTTTGTAGATCTACATGTCACGTCACAACCACTAATCATTTTGCACTCAACACTATGCTCTGTCTGCCATTCGAAATACCAAGATCACTCAAAACCTTTAAGAGGCAATTTTTTTCAATGTCGCGTATTTGCAATGAAAAGTGTTCAAAACCTAAAATCTTTTTGGCGTTCCTCTCAAAATTACTTTGCTTTAGCTTTATTCTCTAGTTTATAGAGTTAGCTACCTTTTTCAATGCATCTTCCGGTTGAGAAACATAAAATAATAGTTAAAAATTGTCAATTAAAATACAATTATCAATGTTGCTTTAAAATTGACGCCATATTTACAGTAATATATAAGCAAAACTTACTGAACTTCAGACATCATTTTCTCTTTGGCGTATCATCTAAAATCTCTTCATTTTAGCATTATTTTACAGATAAAACATTAAACATACTTTTGAAGTTTGTTTGCCGACTGAGAAACGTATCGAAAAATAAAAATTTTGAATTTAGTCATAACCTCAAGTGATATATCATACCCATTAGTTTTGTGCGCGTGTTACGTAACATACAAAAAAATCTCTTAAAACATATACTATACCAATCAATATTTGGTCATCAACGAATACTTTTATATGGTTAATCCCTGTTGTGACGTCACAAAACTACTGTTAAAACAATCAAAAATTTATTCAAGATGCATGGCGGATGTCTCATTACTTCAAGTGAAAATATTTCAAGAACTAAGCAAGATATGAAAAATCGGTAAAGAAGTTAATATATAGTTTCAAAAAATTAATATATAGTTTTAAATGAGAAAATAAAAAATTATATTGCCATTTCCATTTAATATTTATGTTATTTCCGAAGCGAAGTGCGACCGTCAGAAATCGAAATAAACGTATTGCATTACATAGTTCTGTCATCTTCAAACGTAACTCCACGAATATATTTCGTGCACTGAAAATGGATAAATCTCGCCTCCAATCTCTGTTGCCCCGATAAACTCAATAGGTAGAACGGCGGACTCGAGTGCCAAAGGCGTGAGTTCAAATCCAGCTCCAGTCAACTTTCACAGTTGGTTTCGGTAGTGTACAAAATCATGTTGGAAATGTTCTCTTCAGGTTGGAGTATGTCGACATTCTAAATTCTCTCTCCTAATATTTTAGTGTTCATGCAACATAAATCTCTTCTAGGTCGCAACAATGAATACATTGTTGAATCAACACAAAATGTTACGTTTTTGGTGACAGAATAACACTTTTGGATTATTTTCATTCTACAAAAGTGTCAAAAAGTGTACGAATGTCTGGAGTTAATTGAACTCCTTGAAATTTGCAGTGCATGATTCACTGATTGTTTAATAAATAATAATATTATATGGCTTTACAAAATTCTCTATTCTGATTGGTTGACAAGCGGTCTGTAAAAACCCATATCCGGACCGTGCATGGTCCGTATTTTCCGTGGCGGGAAATTTTTGCTTTGCAAACAGAAAAAATGTTTGCTGTTTAATTTTCCAATTGTGTGTCATTAAAATTTACAGATAGAAATTCCAAACAACCAAATTGTTTTTGATTGAGCATGCATGCCTACCGTATATTGTTACCCAGTGAAACTGACGATAGCTGATTTAATTCGCATATGCTCACAGACTCAGTTCAGCCATATAATAAACCGATTATTGACCTCTCTTGTTCGGTCTGTACTGTGAAATATCAGACCTCTGTTTTTTGCATGGACCTCGGTCCATACTAAAAAACCTCGGTCTGATATTTCACAGTACAGACCTCACGCTCGGTCAATAAGCCGTTAATATCCTCGATTTAACGCTCATATCCGTTTAGATGTTCATTCTATTTCCTTTCACTGTAGATATTGTTTCAACCCCATCGAGTTGCCTGCAGCTCATGAATGGAATCAGGATCGAGGTCAGTTTAAGTGTGTGATTATAAACCTAAATTAATGTTCTGTTAAGCAATTAACAACTTGCATGCATATTAGACGAAATTTTAATCCAAGTAAAGAGAAGGGAATCAAACACCGCAGCTAAAAAGAAAATAATGAAATTAGTAAAATTGCCAAATTTGGTTGCAAATGTTGTAAAGCTTGGAAAAGATATAGTCTTGCAAAGTTGTATATGTGTGCATTACGTGCGGAAATTGTTACCATTTTTCGCTCAAAATTAGAAATGTATTTAGTGACACTGTCTGTAAATATATGTAGTTGCAGTGCTAATAGCTACCGTGTAAATGTTAGACTTGCATGGTATGTATTTATCAATTATCTTTCGGCTCATTCTCGACCATGTGAGATTAACATGCAGAAATTAAGATTTCAAATTATGAACTGAAATGAATGGTTGTTTTAGCTGTAATGTCTGAAACCAGTTAATTAATCATTTATAAATATCTATTCCAGTTTATTTTGCTTTGCATCACAAAAGGTTATCCTTGGGTACCATGTAGTAAAACAAGAAAATGTTGTAACTACTTTATGAAAAGTAGAAAAAAACCGTTGTAGAATGTCTCTGGAGTCTGGATGTAATCTGCGAAACAGTGGAATGACCAAGTTACCTATTTAGTATTTTCCTCTCGTGATATTGAAGTTATATTTCATGAACTTCCCTCGTCTAATCACAATAATTCCTTTCTTACCAAACCCGTTCACGGTTATCGTAATTCATATTGCATTATTTATAGGTGCTCGTCTTTTCGCCCCATTACCATGCAGCTAAAATTGTCCCCATTTCGACAGGGCCAATTTAGACGTCTAATCATAGAATAATTTCCCCCTTACCAAACCCGTGCAAGGCTATCGTAAGTGATATTGCATTATTCAAGTCATTCAAAACGCTATTTTTTTCTTAGCCAAGAAGTTCATGGAAGCAGGATTGACGCCACTGATTATCGACAACACAAACACTCAGTCTTGGGAAATGAGGCCTTACGTTCTAATTGTAAGATAGCGATACCTCTATGATTGTTTGTTCCGTATGTGCTAATTGTATTATTTTGTCAAAGGTATAGTTATTGATTAGGTTTATTTTTAGGGTTTAAAATGTGGATATGAAGTTGATATCATTGAACCAGAGACTTGGTGGAAATGGAATATAAAAGAACTGGAAAGGTGGATAAATATTTTGTTATGTGTAATCCCGTCGAAAGTTGTCAGTGAGTAATTTTAGAAAATACAATACATAAGAATACACACTTCTAAAACCGTTGGCATTTTTATTCAACGTTTTGACCATATCTGATTCCTGGTGTTGACTCCAAGATAGAAACGTTGATTAAAAACGTTAGCCATAATTCAGCTCATGCCATGGGCATCTCACTCGATTTGCAACTATATAGACCCTACGATTCTGATGCAGCGCTCTAACCAACTGAGCTGTAGAGTCCAATTGTCGAGCTCTAACCACAGCCCACAGGTTCATGTATATATACACGCACCAAGGTGGTGCCAATGTAAGGTGTATAGTATGGTTGCATATCAGGATTTGGGACATCTGACTCGAACTCGTGGTTACAAGAGCTCGACGACTGGACTGCATATAGCTCAGTTGGTTAGAGCGCTGCACCAGACTCGCAGGGCCACAGGTTTGATTCCTGCCAGAGGGTCTATAGTTGCATTTTTCGCAACTGCTCCTGGTTAGGTCTAATAAATAGGTCGTCTATTAAAATTTACACTCGGAATTTCCATCTACTGTACAAAACCCTTCGCAGTTTAACTGTATTAGGCGTACGAAGCCTAGGAATATTCAATATTCATGAATGTTTTGGCGTGAAATCACGACACGTTATTGCGCATTCCACCCTGCATTAATTAACAGTTTTGTAAATATTATCAATGCCATATTGTGATCTTATGCTAAATTTTAACCACTGACGTCTATTACCTTTATTAAATTCCATTTTTTAGGAGGAACACTCATGGTGTTCCATCAAACATTTTAGAAAGAATGTTGGAACGTTATGAAAAGAATGTTACGGTTGATAGAATTGCGAAAACGGCGGCCAAGCCGATCATTACTCCGAAATCTGATGGTAGGGCCGACATTGGCAATGCGGTGAAACGTGAAACAGACAGTAAACACGAATGTACCTCCAATGGAAATAAGCTAATAAATGAAAGTGAAAAAGTGTCTCAGACAGATGTGAAATCAGGCCTTGGAAACAACCAAAGAAAACCTTGTCAGGCCGAGACCAGGCGAACAGCTACCACGAAGAAGACGATTTCTTTGTCGGCGAACTTTTCAGCGTCTCGTGACCGTAAGCGCCCTTTTGGTGCTAATACAAAGACGAAACAAGGGGATAAACGAGAGGAAAAGAGCTTCAAAGATAACACGGTGGGGAAGGGCTTAGATTCTACAGGGAACGCTGCAGAAGTAAGTGAAAATGGTGGATCGGATTTGGATGCTGTAGTGACGCGTGAGGATGAACAAAGCATCCCCGTTTCTCTTGTTTCATCTATTGATGCACCTGTCAATGAACAAGAAACATCTGAAGAAAAGTGCGTTCCTCAGGTTGATATGAGCATTGAAAATAAATTAAATGATCTCTTGGAATCTGAGTGTGCAGATGAAGAGTCTTCTAGCAAAAGCAAGTCAGATGGGTGTGAAAGTGAGAACACTAGTACAACAAGGAACGATCAGCCAGTAGTCACCCTGGATGATGAAACAGGCCTGCACCATGTTCCCTTTAATGATGATGATGCCCCCAGTATAGGTAGTGTGCTAAGTTCCAAAGCATTCCTACCAGATGATAATCAATTGGTCTCCAAGAATACTTCAGTCAGTTCATCTTCTAATCTGGACGAAGTTAGCGATGAGTGTGAGGAAGTTAGAAATGAAGGTCATCCTCACTGTACTTTGGCCAGTCAGCAAACATTTTCCGACTCGGAGCATTCACTTTCTGAGGAAAATACCTCACTGGAACCTGATTTACAAGTATTAAGGAAAGATGATATTACTGATATCCACTCTAATTCCAAGTTTGATCGAACTCAACCATGTATTTCGGACGAGGAGCTGACTGAAATTTCTTGTGGAAAAACCCAAGAAAATGATCTAGTATATCATTCTGACAATGACATACAATTTACGAGAACAGATGAAGAAACCTTTAGCCACCTGGCAAAAAATCGAAATGCTGATAAACAATTAGAGAACAATGAAAACTCCTGTCCAAGTAATCAACAATTTCTTGCTCAAAATCGAGTACGTTTAACTGAATCACAGGATTGTAGTGTGAAGGATGCAGTTATTGACTTACAAACAGATGTTCCAGATACAAGCAATGAGGACATCGATACTTGCCGTAAAGGTGAAGGTTTTCCTAGTAAAGATCCCAGGCTAACAAGCGGCTCCTCTTCACCGTGTATTGATTTACATGATCTGAAAGATCAAAATCCAACTGCCAATACGGGTCGACATGATCCTGGCAGTGCCAATAGCGATAGATGTGATACCAATACTATTCAGCCGGGCCCTAGTTCTGATTTGCTAGAATATAACGCCCTACCAAGTGCACCTTCTGGTGCATTTGGCATGCTCAATAATACTGTGGTAGATCCTATACGTGGCTCGCAAGAGCATGATCGATCTATTGTAATAGATCCATTTACTAATATGATTGTTTCCCACACTGGTGTCGAACCACGTTTGCCAGATCTAGTTGTAAATCCTAACTCTGTTGTGCGTTCAGATACGAAATTGGATGCCCCAACTTGTAAAGGTAGTAAGCAAGATTCTGGTACTGACCACATAGGCATGGATACTGCTAACAATAATCCAGACATTGTCAAGCAGGATCCCATTATTACCTTATCAAATCCTTCTTGTGGGAATAGTTCGAATGCTGCAATAGATTTGTGTACTGTTGTGCAGTCTTCTAACAATGATTTAGAACGTGCTGATCATGAAAAGGTTAGCCCAACATATTCCAATGCTGAGATAGATTCTGTTAATGTTCATTTACATAATAATGAAATGAGAGATCCTTTAATTGATCGAACAAAAATGAATGCTAAAGATGGGTCTTTCGACCTACAGACTCGTGACTCATTTACTGACTCCGATAAACCAGGTTCTGCTGCTGACAAGAACGACGCTCTTGATCCCATTCAGTTCTTAAAAGATTGTTTCCCACACACTGAAATTGACCTACTGAAGTCGTTTTTAGATTCTTGTAATGGAGATTTGTTAAAAACTGTGGACTCTCTTCTTGAGTATAATAAGAATGATTACCATGATATGAATGAAGAGTCAACACGGGAAGATCTCGACATCAGTTCACCAAAACAATCGTCGGTTCGCTCGGCAGATTCCATTACATCTCCCAGAGAGAATGTTGCTTCACGACATTTGAATACACCAGAAGAAAACCGGAATTTTTATGGCACTGTGAATGTGGAATCTCCGATATCCAGTACTCCAAAGAAATTTCAAGGTGTTCCTGTTGATTCCCTTCACCTCACTCTTGATCCAGCCATGGCATTACAACTGCTTGAAATGTTTGGGGCATTCAGTGGCGTGAGTGCAAGAGGTATCTGTTCTAATTAACGTATTTCTTCTATTAGCACCCATTCTCTCTGTTAGTTAAGGCCCCATATACATGAAACTGAGATGCAGTCAAACTGGGATGAAACTCGAAATTTTCAGGATGTTCACATGAGACCGTGAAGAAAACCACAAGTCTTTTAATTTTATTTTTGTGAATTGTGATGTTACCCTGAGTGTGCATCCCCACCGGTGACCACGGTGAAATCGAACCCGCGACCTTTGGGATATGACTAGTCCAATGCTCTACCAACTGAGCTACGAGGTCAAGTCGGTTAGAATTGGTGATATTTCGGAACTGAGTCTAGTTCCTTCGATATATCGATGAGTCTAGTTCCTTCCAACTGAGCTACGAGGTCAAGTCGGTTGGAATTGGTGATATTTCGGAACTGAGTCTAGTTCCTTAGAATACATTGATATCGAAGGTAGTGACTCAGTTCCGAAATATCACCAATTCGAACTGACTTGACCTCGTAGCTCAGTTGGTAGAGCATTGGACTAGTATCCCAAAGGTCGCGGGTTCGATTCCCATCGTGGTCAGGCAAACTTTTTCTCAGCTTGCCCGATGCGGATGCACACTCAGAGTGACATCACAAACATCGTATTCACCTGAGAACGTAACACCAACACACACAAAAAGTATCTTTTAATTCCCCTTGCCCGCCATTTTCTTTTTTTACAGTGCTTTTGTGAGCATGCATTGTTCCGAAGCCAAGAGCACAGCCGAGACCGATCGGAAATGTATTTGTGTTTACATTTATGCCGCTCCGAATTCATCCTGGTCTGAAGATAGTCGGTTCGGTCCAGCGAGCTGGATAACTTCAGACCTGTCTGGATTATTTTTCGTCCCGGTCTCATGTAAACATGCTGTGCGATTTCAGTATAGATTTGGTGAGATCTGTGTGCCGGTTTAAATTATTTATGTTTTGTGTTTTCAGATCCCTTATCTGAGAGTGCTCGATCCATTAGAATTGACAAAGATTTCGCGAAAACTCTCTACACGAAATGGAGGAAGACTGTTCAGGTATTGTTATTCACATAAGTGTGTAATAATAATATCTTTCCATTTGTGAACTGTTCCAATTCCACATGTGAAATAATATTTTTTCACATATGAAATTAATTTTCACATATGAACCTTTACTTTCATATATGAAAGAATATGTGAAACTCAATTGGCATTTTGACATGTGCATGAAATGTTCCAATTCATGCCTGTAGATTTTATTTGTGTGGAAGTTGCCAAGGATTTTTGAAGATGTTAGCCAAAAAGCTAGGTTTATACAGCTACAGTAACTCCACGCCTATTCATGATTTTGGCCATGAGTTGGCCTGTAGCTTCAGAATTTTAAGCTGAACTATAAGTTGAAACTCTAACAACTTTTTAAAATACTATTCTATGTTTAAAGTGCCAAAACACTTGTGGGACCTTTATGGATTTGAACAGAGCATAAAAAGTTAGTTAATAAGTTCAAAAGACTTTTTTGATTTAGTGCAATAATTTGAAGATACAAGCCTCTAAACTATCTACAGTTCCTGAGTCCCAGGCTCCTATGCACAATGGACCGTTTGGAAAAAGGCCAAATTCAATAGCCGTGTTTAGAGCCCAGGAGCCTGGGAATTAGGAACAGTCCGTTGTTTAAAGGCCTATATCCTCAAAACTATTGCATTAAATAAAAAAAATCTTTTGAACTTATTAACTAACTTTTTACGCTCTTTTCAAATCCATAAAGATCCCACAAGTGATATAGGCACTTCAATTACAACAAGGTGCTGTAAAACACGTTGTTTTACAGCGTCCTCGTAGCAATTATCGACCTTAAGCATGTAGGACGGGACGGCGACGGCAAACAAACTCGTTGAACCAAATGATTGCAGAAGAAGTCTTCTCTATTAAACATCGTATGAAAAATAATACAGTTTAAGGATTTAGGTTAACACAGTGTTAATGAATGAGAAAAATTCTATGACCCAATTGAAAGTAGCAGTTGACCCAGCTTGAAATGTAAGCGTTCTATACAAGACGGGATAACCTGTATTTTGCCGTTGTAAGCAGAGCGACGGCGATGTCTAAAACGTGATTTTGATTGTATACATTTTTGCTCATTTAAGAAATTGAGCAGAATATATAATATTAATATTAATACAACGCAGATACATATTAATACAACGCACATATATTAATACAAGAGTATTAATATGATACTATTAGCCGTCCTCGTTACACTTTCGTCCGGCATGACGTTCTTAATAACAGTAGCTAGTTCTTTATATAATTTTAAAAGCGTGAAATTTAAGGCTGTTTCTTGTCACGTCCCCATACTAGATTAGGCATTGCTTAAATTCGAATTAACTCTAAAATGCGCGATTTTTATCGGTAACTTTCGCACTAACTGTAGTTAACTTTAACTAACTTTTTATATTAACCGGACCCATGCAGGAATACAATCCTTCGAGATCAAATATTGCGTTCAGATTAGCCATTTCGTATTACATATGAAACCTCTGGCTCGTCCCCAGGCGCTAGGGGACGAGGCAGGTGAAACCTTAGCCCTTCGTGTACACTCTTATTGGCCTTAACATCGCATGATAGACTTGCGTTCTGGTAGATTGGACATTGCACAAGGAATCTTACAATCACGTAGTTTTATCAAATTTTTAGTGAAGAAAGCCAGAAAATTGCTGGTTAAGATAAAATACGTTTGATAGGCGTTCACCTAAAACCTTTGTTTCCTCTGCCCGACTAAACAGAAATAAGACAAGAAAATAGGTGTAAACTTGTTTAGGTTGATGCGATATATCGATATTTTGAAAATATCGATATTCAATTTTTCGCATATCGAAAATCTCCTAAATAATCTAATCTCCTTTTTTCGGCAATTATCACTGGAAAGATTTTGAAAATCCATAGAAGGTCATATAGAATGGAAATTGTATGGTCCTTTATTGGAAATAGAATGGATTTTGATTATCCATAATAATTGTAACAATACTATGGATATAGTATTGAAATAGTATGGCTATACTATGGATTTAATGGTGTAATTGCAAATTTCATTGTGTGGATTTCGCATTTTTTCCCAGTGTATTGCCCGGTAAAGTTTATAATACACGTGTATGACGGAAATTGCTGATCAAGTAGGAAGCGCGTGCGCAATTTACTGTCGTTCCAATTGAAGTGTTCCTCAAATATTGATTCAATACATTACCTCGGGCTGACCAATTCATTTGATCAAGTTCCTCGAAATATTCATACACTTCCTAGTATAATTGTAAACTTCCTGTTGAATAGTTTGAATGCACCAATCACCTTAGTTGTTTGTGCAACTAACCAATCATAAATAGAAAGGAAGTGACCAGAAATTATCAAATACTTGGAATTGGCTCTTCACAGGAAGTGTATGAATATCTCGAGGAACTTGATCAAATGAATTGGTCAGCCTGAGGTAATGTATTGAATCAATATTTGAGGAACACTTCAATTGGAACGACAGTAAAAGTGTAAACATGATCACAGAAGCTCACCACCCACACAAGCGGAAGTTGAGCGCTTGAAAACGATAACTGTGATGACTCATAAAGATGGAATCTGCACTACTTTGCATAATGATCTTAATAGCGCGTATCGGCGCGGGCTTAAAAACAAAAGTATCAAAATATCACAGTTCATTCTAACTCACTGTTCTGTTGCGAAGGAAAGTCTAGACGATATGTCGAATCAACGAAGTCCTGTTTGGAATTACTTTAAGAGAAGTTATGACCCAACATGTCAGCTCTGTGGAATAAAGGTGAAAACTAAGGCCGAAAACACAACCAATTTAACATGGCATTTAATCATAAACTAATCATCTCATGGTGTATACGACGAAAAAGCGAGTACAGCTTAAGCCAAACAAGGCGAGCATCCTCACAGAAATTTATGAAGAATCCTATACGAACTGCGTAACCATTAAGTTGTAGATAAATCTTTTGATGTTTAAACAAGTTTCATGCAAATTTGTTTTTTGCTGTTTGTGGTGCGGTATACATACAAATTGACTAAACTACGTTTTATAATTTGCATAATTCGATATAGTCGAATACATTGATTTTAAAGGAACTAGACTCAGTTCCGAAATATCTCCAACTCGAACCGTCTTGACCTCGCAGCTCATTTGGCAGAGCATTGGACTATAGTATCGCAAAGGTCGCGGGTTCGACTCCGACTGTGGTTAGGCAAACTTTTCAGCTTGCGCGGTGTAGATGCACACTCATAGTAACACCACAAACATCATAGTCGATATTATTGATATTTTTTTTAGATAATCAGTTTAGACCCGAGTTTCAAAACTGCAATTTGGTGAAGTCTACATCTAAGATTAGTTGCGCAATGTCCAGTCTACCAGAACGCACGTTTATCGTGTGATGTAATCTTAATAGAATTTTATCGGTAAAAATCCCTATTTGTGTACATTTTATGCAGCCAAGCAAAAATAACTACCGAGAAAATTGTATTGTAAAAATTATACATACACGTTTTTGGTTTCAACATGCAATGTCAGTGGCAGTCTAGTTAGTTGAAGCTCTTTCAATAAAGTGCGCAGTTGAGAACTTTGGTTTTCTAACAAAAATTGATATTCTTGTTATGTTAGGCAAAGAGCAAGGCAAAAAAATCAGAAGAGTCAAAGAAATTCTCTCCAGGTACTTGTCTATAATATTATTTTTGAACGTATGGTACCTGTAGCAGGTTGGTATAACATAAGAAACATAGAACTAAATATAATGTTTTTCATGTTACTCTGCATGAGCAGGCTGAAAAGTTAGCCTGACTACGGTGGGAATGGAACCCGCGACCTTTGGGATACTAGTCCAATCCTAGGTCGCGGGTTCGATACCCACCGTATAGTCAGGCTAACTTTTCAGCCTGCTCGGTGTGGATATACACTCAGAGTAACATAAAAAACATAATAGAACTAATATGTATTTACTTGCAGTCATGTCTGATGGCAATACAAAAAGAAAGTACAAGACACCACCACCACAATTTTATCTCCCCGAGCCTGTCCCGATGAAACCTTCAAAGTCTGTTGTATCCCAACCAGGTAAGATCATGGTGGATTTATGTTATCGATTGTGTAATCATTTCCATTGTACAGCATACCAATAATGAATGTTTATAAGTGCCAATGGTAAAAATATTTTCATGAGGTGAAATATGGAATTTCTTCATTCCAAGAGGCGACAGCCGTTTTATACATATAGGTTATCATATAAGGGATGAGGTGATATCAGTTTTATCGCTCGAGGGATGATATCACAATTGTCACGAGCGAGCGCAGCGAGCGAGGGACAATTGTGATATCATCCCAAGAGCGATAAAACTGATATCACCTCATCCCGAGTACGATAACCTATTTATTATATACTTCTACCTTTATCAGGGTTTGACACCCAAAAGTAAACAGTTTTGAAAAAAGAGGATCATTTTAGAATTCAAAACAAATCATTTACTGAACAAATATGATTTTAGAAAATAAATAGACCATTCATATAAATAATATACAATTTAAGTCTTTCGTTTTGTATTATCGTTCTTGTTTTCTTCGATAAACTCTCGACATCAACCAACACGAACCTCGAGTCGGCCATCTTTGTTTTGACAAGGCGCGAAATTTAGCGGGACAAAAAACGATATCCGGGACAAAAAACGATATCCGGGACGATATCGTTTTTATGTCCCGCTGCTTCCTACCTGATAAAGGTACAAGTATGTGATAAATAGAGGATATTACACGGCGGCGCGAAGATATGACTTTTATCTTCGAGTGGCGAAAACAATATTTTACGAACGAGCGCAGCGAGTGAGTAATATATTTTTTTTAACACGAGAAGATAAAAGTCATATCTTCAAGCCACCGTGTATTGTTCTGTTTATTATATAGTCCCAAGCAAAAGATTGTAAAATTTCACGCTCAAAAGCAAATGGGAAAAAGTCACGTGATCGATATCTTCACTAGTGAAGATGTAGAAAATATCTCACTGTGTATTTTTCAGTATCTCACTCTCTACTATATATAATAAAGTATATAACACTAAAGGGTGCATTCCAGTTACGCGTTTTTCATACGTGCGTACACGCACGTAAAAGTTGAATTCGCTTAAAATTTCATATATATAAAATTTCAAATAACCTTAACAAATACACATTAAATCATACACAAAACTGAATGCTGTCCTTTTATAAATTTAGTTATTATATATCAATAGTCAAAGTCGCATTTTTCTAGTGTTTTATTGGTTGAGAGCATATCACGTGAGAGTGACGAAATTAGGCTGGCCCCCTCGCAACAGCGCGATCGGGAGGGAGATAATACGTTATCGACCGGCGAATAACAAAAAAATCACGTGCGCCATCACGTGAAGATGCGACCTTTGGACATGCCTAGTACACACGTAAAAACGCACAAGTTGTAACAAACCTACAGCAGACTTGTAGCAAGGCCACAAGAGGCCCAGGATCAACAAACATTTCAAATTTTTCTCCACTGGCACTGAGAAGGGGGACAGTACTTGGAACAGTACTGTAATAATTTGATTATTTGAATCAAAACAATTCCCAAACATTATACTGACTAAACTTCTTAAATTTAAATATTTAGATTTGCACTGGTTTTCCCCCGACAACATTTGTTAATTGTTTTGATTCAAATTTATATTACATTACTGACTACAGAAATTTGAAATGTTTGTTGATTTTCGTTGTCCAATCAGGGTTGAGTGTATTTTGAGTTGTTCAACGACTTCCGGTTTTTGTCCAGCAAACCCGGCACGCGGATATATTTTGGGCGAATTTTGTTATTCCCTCACGGATTTCAGAGCGAATTTAAGCTCTTTGATTAAAGCATCGTTGTTTTGAGAGTTATACGGTATCATTCTTGCAGGGGATATCGATTAATCGTGAAAGAAATGCGTTAAAGGCGAAAAATCGAGGATAGTTTCGTGTGACATATGCCAAGTCTGGGCTATTTTGGTCTCAATGTTTCCTTCCTTCCCTCGTTATAAGGAAGGCACAGGCGGGCGCGGGCAAATCGAGCCTGGGCCTCCTGTGGCAAGGCTGTTCCAACAACTTGTCAACAGGATGTGTTCGCACTGCTTGTTCCCAGCTTGTTGACAAGTTGTCAATGGCTTGTTGACAAGTTGTCAATGGCTTGTTGACAACTTGCTACAAGATTGTTGAACTCAACAGACTTGTTACACGTTGTTCCAACAACTTGTTATCGTCCTGCAATTCAACAATTTGTCAACAAATTGCGAGTGGCAACCTTGTAGCCACTTGATGAAATGACAGCATTGTTACAACTTGTTCACAAGCTTGTTACAAACGTTGTTACGCGTGTACGTAATTAAAACTTTCTCTTTAAGTAACTGCAGTGTAGCCAGTGTTTAATATAACGTTTTAACAATAAAATATTTCATGTATTTACGTTCATTTGTTCTTTAATTTGTTGTTTCTTTGACTATTGATATATAATAAAACACTTATTTACTGAGACCTCGGGAAAGCAGTGTGTTTTGTGGACCCTCGACCGTCGATGTTTCCCTTGGCTTCGCCTCGGGAAACATCGACGGTCTCGGGAAACATCGACGGTCTCGGGTCCTCAAAACACACTGTTTCCCTCGCTCTCAGTAAATAAGTGATAATTATTTCATAAGTAGGATGTAAAGTGAATTCAACTTTTACGTGCGTGTACGCACGTATGAAAAACGCGTAACTGGAATGCAGCCTTCAAACAAATCAATGTTGTCGATTTTTTATTTAAAGTAAAAATACAAAACAAATGCATACCCGAGTTTCAATGTTTAAAATTAATAGAAATCCAACAAATACGTCCCAAAGATGTTTGAGTGCAGAGCTAATATAATAACGGCATAAAGTTAACTCGACAAGGTTGTAGAAAATGGATATTTTTACACCCGCCATTTTGCGGCGCACAAATTATGCATTTCAATTTAATTCCATCGGCCTCATTATGAAGATTTGGATTACTTGAGCTCTAATTAGAAAGCGATTAAGATTTTGACGAATGCATGGAATTGAATGAAAACCAAACCGTTGCAATGGAACAAAACGTACATAGTGCAAAAATGCACGGCTGGGCGTAATTTTTATTCCACATCACGTAATCGGCCAATTAAATTACCACAATTTAATGAATTGTTTTATAATACAGCTAATTCAAAAAAGGTTGTCCTTTGAAAAACCTTAAACTCTAAACCTGAAACCGTAAACTCTAAGCGTGCAAAGCATAATGAAGAATTTAATAAGTTTAGAAAGCATATATAGGGCCCATTTCCTAGAAACATGGTAAATATCTCCTTAGGGACCGGTCATTATTTATGGCGGGGGTGGCACCGAAGAGAAATGTTTTCCGTGTCAAAAATTTTGCTGACCCAACCATTAAAAAAAACAAAAATTTTATTACCCAACCTCAAATATCAATTATAACTACCCACCACTGGCCAAAAACTTAACAAAAGGATACCATTCAGTTCAGTAATGTCAGTTGTCATACATGTCCTTTATCACTTCAGTGACATGAGTTTGATAACGGCTTGTGAAATTTTCTGCAGTCTAAAGTTTCATGTTGTCTGCACATGTACTTTCTTTGGAAACACAATTTGTTTTGTGAAACTATGATCAAGATAGTGACTCTGATTGATTCACATATTGTATTGACAAATGACTGTTGACATTGCTTTTCAGTCTCCAATATTTGAGTGGGTCATGCTTTGGAAATGACAATAAATTTTTATTACCCAACCCTTGAGTTGTTTTGTTTTTCATTTACCCAACCTTTTACTTACTCAAAATTTTGTTTACCCAACCTTTTTCTCTTCGGTGCCACCCCCCCCCGCCATAAATAATGACCGGTCCCTTATGAGAATATTTCATTCACAAATAGTTGCAATATTCAACTACTAAGGGTGAAGCTTGTGGTGCCATTAAGCTTTGCGCGCTTAGAGGTTAAGGTTAGAGTTTAAGGTTTTTCAAAAGACAACCTTTTTTTGAATTGGCTATATACAATACTCCACATTAACTAACCTATTGTTTCTGCCATAGAACCAGTCTCGTTAAAAGAAATCATGGATGAACAATTTGCAATACATGTTAGTCAATCAGACCAGGTATGTTATAATATACCGAATCCCAAATGTTCAGGAAAAAGCTTCAACTCGACGGTGAAGAATAGCTTTTTTACAGTTTGTCCTCTGTATTTACAAAGTAGTACATGCAATCTTTATTTATAGGAAATTGACAAACGTTTTGTCGAAGAACAACTTGATTTATCAACAAAGCTTAAGAGATCTCGTCTTCATGGCATGTTTCCTGGTGTTGACGCCGTTGCTCTTAATGAAATATTTCAAGCCAATAAGTGAGTACTTATAGATGCGTGTACGCATTGTGCATGATAAGTTGATAACGTCAAGCAATGAGTGCAAGTAGAAATTAAGCCTAGGTTACACGTGCGATTTTTTTACGGCCGGCAACGCAACGGGTTAAATTTCATTGCGTTGGCGGCGCGGCAATTGAAACCCAATATACAAAATTTGCGAACTTTGCAAGGCTATATTTTCCGCATTTTACAACATTTCGCAACCAAACTTTGCAATTTTACTCATTTTAGTATGCTCTTTCTAGCTGTGGTGATTTATTTGCATCTCCTTGCCTAGTTTTAAAATTAGTCTATAATGGGAATTGTCTATTGACCACAACATTTCTTAGCACCATCCAGAGACGAAACTAGCCCCTCTTAATTCGGGCAGTGTCTGCAAGAATTGCCCTGCCAAAACCGATGATGCCCTGCAGCAAATTTGCATTTTTGAGACCATATTTTTCCCAAAAATGTTGGCGAGTGAGGGGAGGGGATTAAAAAACATGGTCGAAAAAATTTTCCGGACATAAACCACTTATACATTAAGGTTCAAAACAATTTTTACGTACAAATTACTGTTAAAACATGGGTGAAACCCTTTTCTTGGACCAATATCTGTAAAATTTAGGTCTATGAATCCCATAAATTCCCTCTGAAAACCCTTTAAACCCTTCTATCATTTACAATCTTTGATTGCCCTGCCAATCCAGATGATTCGTATTTTGGGGGGTGTCACCCCTCCCCCCATACCCCCCTCAAGTTTCGCCTCTGGCACTATCTTCTTATTTTCATCAGATTTACATGTCAGATCTTCACAACTTAATTACGGTTTTGAATAACATATAACAACAAAGTCAAGCATTACGATATAAATATAGCCTGCGCACAGTGGCAACCTAATTTTAAGCTGGATGCATGCATGTACAATGGCTAAATGATAAAAAGGGGCGTGTGTTTTACATTGTCGATATTGTGTTTCAGTTATGACTTCGATACAACAATACTGCAAGTGCAATCATCTTGTGGAATGCCTCTTACTGGAAAACCAACAGCTGTGAGTCCGGAGCAGTCATTTACTAGTCATCAGTCACCCAGTAATAGACAGGTATGATCACTAAGTCTTAATATGGGATATTGGGGGTAGGTAGGTACTGGAGGTGGGGAAAACTTTATTAGACGACGCTGACCTCATCGACTAAACCTGGTTTCCATGAGGGACATCGGTTACACACTAGGCTATATATATATATATATATATATATATATATATATATATATATATATATATATATATAATATATATATATATATATATATATATATATATATATATATATATATATATATATATATATATATATATATATATATATATATATATATATACAAAATTACTTACAAATTAACTATAAAGAATACAGCTAACCATAAATTTATTTACATGCAGTAAATTACAGTTTTTAAAGGCTTTTACCCCAATACTCGTATTAGCCTAACATTCATCATAATCCGTTCCTTTATTTTAACACTAACTCCAATTTGGACCCTAATGTCAACCCTAATCCTGAACGTCAGCTAACTTATATTATTTATACAAGTACATGCATAAGGATGGCGTCCTATGTTAAATACTGTATACCCTGAAGTCCAACTTCTTAACTCTTAAGAGAGGATGTCCACAAAAATCAAACATAAGGCGGCCACGACGGAAAAATCGATTTTGCTCAAATTTTGCCCAGATATACCTTATTATATCGGAAAATGCACCATGTATTTTTTTAGGTCAATTGCTTTTTTAACTTTGAGAAAATGCCGTTTTAACACGACCACCCTAAATCGCCATTTTGTCTGGGAAAATATGCGCTGATTTTACCGACAAATTTCACGACGACAAGCGTTTCTAATCGATCTAAAACCCTAAAAATCTTGTTTTCGGTTATTCAAAGGACCGGGTACGTGACTTACAGGAAATCTGAGTTACTTTTAGGAATAGAAATAATCGTAGTTTTGGAGCACACTATCTTACCTCATTTACGATACCCTCTTAACAAAACCGATTTTCACCATGGGATAAAGCTCCACATCGATCATGCTTCTACTAGTTGGCTCTTTAATAAACAAGCTTTCAATTGACGTAAATACTTCTTTGGGCAAATGAATACGCGATAAACGACAGCGCGTTGAAATCGTCCGTTTTTGACGTCTTGCAAGTCAAACGCTGTTAATTTACATACCGTCGAAGTAAACAATTTAATCAAGTATTTTAAGTATTTTACCTTTTGAGAAGAAGATATTCTTGAATGGAGACTTTTTACCTTGCTAAGTTTAAAATTGGTCCAGAAATCCCGATATATTTGTGAAATATCATCATATACAGGTATTTTGAGATATAATATTGTTGTCAGTTGCATGATAACTTCAGATCAGTGTTCAATATTGTCTACTTTTAATAGCGCTAACATACAAAGCGATGAGCTGTTTAGGGATTATATTTGTTACTAAATTTTCCAAAATAATTAGAACTACAACTGCTGTTTTCAGAGGTTTTGTTCCATTTTGTCCATATTATTAAATTAATGTACCAGTTATGTATCGACTATAATGTTTACGAAGACGTAAGTTAATTATTAAGCAGGTGTTAGCGTGCGTGTACATGAAATAATGAACGTTTATAATGTTTATCAATATAAGGAGTTTTTATTTTTAGTTTACCAGCCCTTATATTTGAATAGCCGAATTCATATTAGGGACGCGAAACTCGTCTTAGACGGAAACTCGTCTGTGAAAACCCGCCTGAATATGAATTTAGGGACGGATAAATTCGAATTTGAAGACGAGTTTCCCGTCTAATACGAGTTTCCCGTCTCCAATATGAATTCGGCTAATGTGTGTTAAAACTTCAAGGTCATTAAATCTCATTAAAATCCCACAGACCACGATTATACGTATTGATTCTTTCTTGACGATAGTAGACACGTACGCATGCATGTTGCGTAAGAGGTTATTTCGCTGGCCTCAGAATGACAAAACGTAACAAAGCTTTACACTAACCCTATTCCAAACACCAACTTTATAACTTAAATCCCTACCATAACCCTTGCTCGTTATTAAATAACATACCGTAGTAAATAATTTAATCACCATTTCTAAGTCTTTTACTTTTTCGGGACAAAAAACTACTTGAAAAAGACCAGGGCTTTAAAAATTATTTGAAGTAGATGGTTATGATAAGACAGGGGTGGCGCCAGGGCCGCCCTTGCAGGGGGGGGGTGCAAAGGGAGCAATTTTCTCCGCGACCCCAGCTCAAGGAGGGCCGGCAAATACAAATTTGCAAGGGGGTAAAAAGTTTGTCGACGGAGGGGTGGGAGGAGAATTATTGTGGTTCACCGGGGCCCCAAAGATATAATTGGCCCTGGGCCCCCATATTTCACTGAGCTGGCCTGGGCTGCGCCAGTAATTCTCCGACGGGGGAAGTCATCGGTGCTCTCTTTCGTTCTTTGGCAATTGGCATTAAAACCACAAGAACTACCGACAAGTGACCAGGGCCGGATTAACGTCGCGCGAGGCTCGTGGCAGATTTTAGCGCGAGGCCCCAACCTCCTCCCCACCCCCACGCTCAGCTTTGTTATGAAAACCTTTGAATTTAAAGACACACAAAATTGTTAAATAATTTTTTTCATTATTTCAATTTATTAGCATCAATTATAAACGAGACAATGGCCTGCCTGGCCCAGTTGTTGGGTCAACATGTATAAACAGGATCATAATATAACAGCTCAACGCAACTGGAGATTATATGCACACGAGTATTGCATATCTTCCTGGGGCCGTGCTGGGGCCAACTGCCAAGCCTAGGGGCCCTAAATTCGCGAGGCACCTAAAATGGGTGTGTCCCAATAGAAAATGGCCGTGTTCTCGTAAAAATGGGCGTGGCACAGTAAAGCGCAATGCCCCCATAAGCGCGAGGCCCGTGGCATTTGCCGCATGTGACACATGGTTAATCCGGCGTTAAACGAGCAACAAGCTTCCATTTTTTTTAAACGCGACGTGTGGGGAGACAATAATAATTTCTGGTGTCGCACTGGGGTAACATATCTCAATGCTGTATTTTTGGGTTACTAGTACTTGTGGAATATAATAAGATCAATAAACAATAGTGTATCAAAAGAAAGTAATTTTACTGATTATTTTAACTGAGCATCAAAGTGAACACACATTAAAATAATTATTCTAAACTATTTGCTATAATTTGAGTTTGAGGTGGTAGAATATGTAATAAAATAACAAACCTTGTATGGATTAATGTTCATTTCACACGCACGCTATTAACAGCTGCTTAATAATTAACTTATGTATTCGTAAACATTTATACTCGATAGCATAGTCGATATGTAAAATGGTACATTATATGGATCAAACTGGAACAAAACAACAACTGAAGTTCTAATTTGGGGAAATTTAGTAGCAAATATAATCCCTAAACAGCTCATCGATTTGTATGTTAGCGCTATTAAAAGTAGACAATATTGAACAGTGATCTGAAGTTATTATGCAACTGACAACAATATTATATCTCAAAATACCTGTATATGATGATATTTTACAAATATATCAGGATTTTTGGAGCAATTTTAAACTTAACAAGGCAAAAAGTCTCCATTCAAGAATATATCTTCTTCTCAAAAGGTAAAATACTTAGAATACTTGATTAAATTGTTTACTTCGACGGTATGTAAATTAACAGCGTTTGCTTGCAAGACGTCAAAAACGGACGATTTCAGCGCGCTGTCGTTTATCGCGTATTCATTTGCCCAAAGAAGTATTTTAGTCAATTGAAAGCTTGTTTATTAAAGAGCCAACTAGTAGAAGCATGATCGATTTGGAGCTTTATCCCATAGTGAAAATCGATTTTGTTAAGAGGGTATCGTAAATGAAGTAAGATAGTGTGCTCCAAAACTACGATTATTTCTATTCCTAAAAGTAACTCAGATTTCCTGTAAGTCATGTACACAGTCCTTTGAATAACCGAAAACAAGATTTTTAGGGTTTTAGATCGATTAGAAACGGTTGTCGTCGTGAAATTTGTCGGTAAAATCAGCGCATATTTTCCCAGACAAAATGGCGATTTAGGGTGGTCGTGTTAAAACGGCATTTTCTCAAAGTTAAAAAAGCATTTGACCTAAAAAAATATATGGTGCATTTTCCGATATAATAAGGTATATCTGGGCAACATTTGAGCAAAATCGATTTTTCAGTCGTGGCCGCGCAATGTCTCATATGTTCGATTTTACTGACATTCACTCTTAATTCTCGTGCTGAAGCCATTTTTAATTTGTTGGAAAAGACACACGCCCCTGGTTTACAAAATTTGAGTTCGAGAAATTTTTTTTCATTATTCTACATTATAAGTACCCAAAGAAGTTATATATATATATATATATATATATATATATATATATATATATATATATATATATATATATATATATATATATATATATATATATATATATATGTATGGGAAACATGGCTGGTGACACACCTACATATCTACAAAATCTTTTTTTCAGTTCGTGGCTCAGAATATAATCTTAGGAACTTTGAAATGAAATTAAATCTACCCAAGCCACGAACTAATTATATGAAGCGAAGCTTTCAGTACAGTGGAGTAGTGCTGTGGAATAGCCTTCCCGAAAATATAAGAATGCTCCAATCGTTTGCTCAGTTCCTGAAAGCTGTAAACAAGTATTATAATACTTTAGATGAACTCCCACACGGCAATCTTGTAAACCAGTAGATCATATTCTTTTATTTATTTTTGCATGCTTAAACTTATATATATATATATATATATATATATATATATATATATATATATATATATATATATATATATATATATATATATATATATATATATATATATATACTGTATATATATATATATATATATATATATATATATATATATATATATATATATATATATATATATATATATATATATATATATATATATATATAAGAG